TGCGGCCGTGGCGGCTGGGCAGGAGGCCCAGGCTGGGCGGGGTGCCGCCCCAGGCTCACCGCTGCCAGGTCGGCATGGGCGGCAGCGTGTGGGGCGCGGGCGGGGCGCCCTTGGCGCGGTGCTTGTCCCACCGCAGCGCCGCCACCGCCCCCGCCACCGCCGCCAGCCCCAGCTGCACCACCAGCAGCATGGGCCCGCGCAGCAGGCCGGCGCTGGAAGCCAGCTCCAGCAGCTGCTGCTGCTGCTCCTGCTCCTGCTGCTGCTGGTCGCCTGCCCGCTGCGCCGCCGCCGCCGCCGCCGCCTCGGCCAGCGCGGCGGCCCCGCCACCCGCCGCCAGGGGAGGCGGCGCCACGCTAGACCCCTCTGCCAGCACCGTGCCGTGGATGACGGGGAAGGGCGGGTAGGCCTGGCGCAGCGCGTGCGCCGCCTCCTTGGTGAACCCACACACCTGCGGCAGCGCCAGTCGGGCGCCAGCATGGCACCAGCTCAGCGCAGCGCACAGCGGGCGGGACCCCAGCCTGGCGTGCTGTGCACGCTGTGCGTGCTGCGCGTGCTGCGCGTGCCGTGCGTGCCGCGCGCACCTGCCACACCGCGCGCTGCTCCACCAGCGGTGAGCTGTAGGGCGTGACCTGACCAAAGCGCGAGTAGATGCTGCCCTCCTTGACCAGGCCCTGGCGAATGCGGGTGGACACAGACATGCGGCGGCCTGCGGTGGGGTGGGGTGCGAGTGGGGTGGGGTGGGGCGGGGTGGCGGGGTGGGCCAGGGGGCACAGCGGGGCGGCGCAGCGGGGGCACACGGGTGAGAGGGGGCTGGGAGGAGGGGAGGGCGGCGTGGAGGGAGGTGGCAAGAGCGGCACTCCAGCCCTGGCAGGCAGGCAGGCAGTCAGGCAGGCAGGCAGGCAGGCCGCCCAGGCAGGCAATCGTGCCGCCGGCAGCGCGCCCTGCGGCTGCCGCGGCCCGCCCTCTCACCCACGTCCTCCCTGCTGGGGTGGATCATGCAGGCTCCGTCCACCGCCGCCAGCCTGGCCCGCGGGAAGCGAGCGAGGGCGGAGAAGCAGTAGGGCAGGCCCCAGCCTGAGGGTGGGGGGAGGCGGGGGAGCGCGGGCGGGCAGCGGGTGGCTCAGCGCCCGAGCAGCAGGCAGGTGGGCGGCGGCAGAGGGCGGCTGGCCGGGGGCCGCCGGGCAAGGCGGCGGCAGGGCGGCGGTTGGGAGGTGGTGGGCGGCATTGTCGGGGCTGCGGGCAGGCGCGCGGTGCCGGCGCGGCTGCGGCGCAGGGGGCCCACCTGAGAAGGAGTTCTCGAGCAGCGGTCGCACCCTCTTGTCAAAGTAGCGCATCTGGAAGGCGGGGGCGGTGACCTGCGGCGGCGGCAGGCCACAGCCACGCGCACACGCACAGACACACACAGGGGTGGGGGGCCGGCACCCC